AAGGATGAACCAGATTAAGGGCCGGCCCTTAAAAAGGGCCACTTGCCCTAACCCGTTGGGGTAAAGGCAAGTGGACCGATCAGCCCTTAGTGAGTCCTGATCAGTTAGACTGGTTGGCTGCATCTTTGTCACATTTATAGAAATTAAAGAGTAAGAAAAAAAAGTTTTATTGATTCCAAAAGGGACGGTACTTTTTGAAAATTTTTAAAAGGGTAAATGTTTGATTTCATGTCAACCTGCGCCACAGCGCTAGCCATGCACATGTGCTACAATGTGTCATCACTAACATAGCAAAGACTGCTTTACATTTCCAGTAGAGGAATAGGGCGTCTCATTTTGAATACCACAACACAGTGTAGAGAGCTGAGGCTATAACATCAACAGGAAGTGCCAAAGATTTTTAAAAATGCTTTGAAACAGAATTTTTTTATAAGAAGAAGAAATCTAGGACTGAGTAACTGCCATTGATGTTTTGGACAGATTTAGCCTCTGTTCGAATTCATGGGATGCGTCCTAAGAAGGCCAGATTCGTTGGGCCGATTACATCATAGCACGGCACTGAGATCTGGTCGGATTCCAAGACTCCTCGTTATGCGGCCTACAAATGCGTCCTTCTTTTTGTCCGATTTGAAGGATGGGTCCGTTGTATCCTCGCTATCCTTGGTTATCCCAGGATTCATTGCTAGACTAAGCAAGCTGGCTGCTCCATGATCAGAGGAAATGGTACTTGGCGCCAAACAGTGGTGAATATTGGAAGCTCAGTTTAATATAATACAATTATGTGAATAGTTCCGTCTGAAATGAATGAAAATAGTTATTTTAAATTATTATTGAGTCAGATATGTGGCAGGTAGTGTTTGATTTATCTAAATGTTTTGATCTATTGCTTTTTAAATGGGTTTGGCTTTAATTTAAGGACAGATTCTAATATATCTGCAGTGTGGGGACTATAAATCTAAGGATGTTTATTTTTTAATTGCTATTTTGCACAATTTGCTTAACTAAGTACTTTTTGTTGTTGAACAAAAGAGATTTTGCAGGTACATTTTTCTACATACATTGTTTACATTTACTTAAATCTTTATACCCCTTTTACAGATTAGAATAGAATAGAAAATCTCTTTATTGTCCCACAAAGTCCAACAAAATTTACAGCAGCAAGAAGATTATTGAAAAAAATGGTNTGGAAGTGAATCTCTGAGTACCTGGAGCCAAGCACCTGTAATTGTTTGTGAGGGTGCACTTGTGCATGTAAAGTTTATCCATAGAAAAAAAAAAAAAAGCTCAATAGTGGTTGTGGAGAGCTGAAGAGGCACACCCCCCAGAGCACCGAGTCCAGCGCCAGGAGACCCAAAGCCCCAGGCGCCCAAAGGGACCCCAAGAGCGAATTCACCAAGGAGGGGCCAGCCCTGGAAATCAGACCCCCACCAAGGGAGGAGGAGAGACAGCCACGAAGAAGCCCCCCAGCCAACCCCATGCCGGCACCCCGGGGAGCCGCGGGGATGAGTCCACTGGCTCCGCCGGCAGCCGGCCACCCCTCAGTAGGGCCGGGCACTGGACACCGGCACCTCCACGGCACCGAACGAAACGCCCAGCCAGGGCCCACGCGCATCTGCCACGAACCAGCCGCGAGTGCCGCGTAACCCCCCCAAAAAGCCCCCCAGGCCAAAAGCGCAGCCCCACCCCACCAAGACCGATGCCAACAGCGCGCAACGCAAAACACAGCGCACAGAAACAACCAAAGAGCAGAAAAGCCACCCGGCGCCCGACTGCAAGAAGAGCAGACCACAGCCGGCACAACCACCCCCCCCCCAGCAGCCCGCGGGCAGTACAAAGCCAGAGTGGAGCCAAAGCAGCTCCGCCGGCCCAGCCCCCCGACGCGCGCCGGTCGGAGCTACTCCACCCACCCAACAGCAGGGCCGGGCCCCCAAACGACACCCCCCCCACACCATTCCTAAAACACCAATTTTGAAGAAGAAGAAAGCCACACAACACAGAAAAGCACAAATTCTGAGCCCCATTCCCCCGCTCACACCCCCCCTCCCACAAAACAAAAATCCCCCTCATTGAAGAAGAGCAGCCGAAAACAAGTCAGTGTCCAACACCCACCCAAAAAAATCAACATGCCTGCCCTCCCAGGAGACAAACAAGCCGCCGAACGGGAACCCCACCGACAGCGCACCGCCGGCACGTGGGGGTCTGAGCGGCCCCGACAGAAACAACACCAGAAGGCCGACATGGACGAACCAACGGCACCAACCAAGCCCCCAGGCGGATTCCCCCACCAAAAAACACAACAAAACCACTCCACTCCCACCGATCACAGCAAACACAGCCGCAACGCAAAACAAAGGACAGAGCAGCAAAGCCACCCCAGCCGCGCGTCAGAATCCGGCACAAGCAGCAAAAACAAAGCAGCACGACCCACCACGCCCCGGCCCTGCACCGCCCACGGGCCGCCGAGAGGAGGATGGCCACACCGGTCGTGGAACCGCCCCAAACCCCGAACCACCCGCCCCCCCGCAACCAAACACCAAGCAACCCTAACCCTCCACTTCCAAACCGCCCCCGCGCATGATGCACCGCACTGCGCACCACCGGCACCCGTCCCAACTAAGCGAAGCCACACCCCGACTCAGGGGTTATCCCAAAGGGGCCCTACGACGCCCGCAACCAGCCCACAACCACCAAAACCCGGCACCAATACACGAGGCACGCCCCGACACCCTGCAGAACCGAAGCACCCGGCACCACAAAAGAACCGATGCCCAGCGCCCAGCCCCACCCAGCAGCAGCACAGCTTCCATCCAGCAACAGACCCCAGGGCTAGACCCGCCAGCTAACCCACTCCGAGC